GCTTGACCTGCTGTGTTCATCCAGCTCTACACCTTGTTATTTCATTTATTTTTCAAGTTGTTTCATGTTCATCACTCAGTGTGCGGTTTCCATATTGCATGAAGTTATGCACTCAGAGACTGTTCTACATGGTTAACTATGATTTTCACATTTGATCGACTTGTAGCTGTTTGTTGCCACAAACTAAAAACAAAATACTGCACTGAGAAAACAGCAGCTGTGGTTACAAAAACAGGACAAACGTGTCAGCTTTTTCAAATAATGTTCCCTGGTATTTTATGCATAAGCCAATTTACAGAATTGGCAGCACGCCATGGCATTGTAGACAGAAGAGTATACATTATACTTTCCCTTTATGGGCAGCATTTGATTGGTTTGACTGTGTTATAACTCCTGATCTTTCCAATCATTCTGTTTAATGCCATGATTGTTAGACACATTCTGGTGGCCAGTAGAGATCCATGCTTAAGGTAATGGAGAAAATAAGAGTTATCAAGCGATAGACTTTCTTTGGCACTCTATCATTTTACTATTTGTGATGTCTGGTATTTTCATCATGTTGTGGATGGTGAATTTCAAGACAAGACCGCAGCGTAAATCTTCGCTTTATTGGGTAGGGAAGGTTTGTAATTATCTACTTGGTTAGCGACCTCCTCCCCTCAAATCCACTTTCTGACCCTCCCTTCCAGCCACCAACCGGATTCATCCCTCCCATCCACCCACCAGGTCATACCTATTACCAGCGTCCATCTATCACCATCATTCTGCTACCCCGCACCCCGCCCTGCCACACCGGCTTTATCTTCAGCTTCCCCCTACCCACCACATCCAGTCCTGAAGAAGGGTAAATACCCGAAACGTTGAATACTCCTTTCCTCCAGATGCTGCTTGGATTGCTGTGTTCTTCCAGCCCCCCTTCTGTTTGTCTACCTTGTAATTATCTACACTCTATATGCACACTGCAGAAACTCGGAATCAGATCAAGGACATAACTTACTATTCAACATCTCCTGCCAATGACTAAGCTCCCTGACCCATCATTCATAAAGGTTGACTTGGGATCCCTCGCGCCGGCGCAGTGCGTCCCCGACTCCGGCATGCGCTGAACGTGTTTGAAGAGCGCATGCGTAGTGCCGTTGCTCCAGCTGCGGGTCCACGGTCATTTCGCCTCTTCACCGGTGAAGGAGGAAAAAGAGAATGTGGGCGGATGATGGAGTGGGCGGAGTGGCTGGGGAGGCTTCATAAACATAGAGTGGAGGTATGAAACCCAGAGCAAGGTCCCCCCGGTGCCGTATTGACAGAGAATGGCCTGGTAGCAGCGGGGCCGCGACTCCCGGCAGCGGGCCCGGGTAACGGTCGCCATCTTTGTAGGGAGCAATGGGCAGCTGAGCGCATGCGCAATCATCTTAGGTCAGAAGACACCCTATTGTTGAGAGATAGTAGGAACTGCAGATGCTGGAGAATCTGAGATAAAAAGGTGTCGGGCTGGATGAACACAGCAGGCCCGAAACGTCAGCCTTCCTGCTCCTCTGATGCTGCTTGACCTGCTGTGTTCATCCAGCTCTACACCTTGTTATCACACTATTGTTGAGTTTTTTTTTCTTGACTGACTAGGGATTTACACACGGGAGAGTGAAGCCAACAGGAATATTAAATAAAACAGAAAATGGTAGAAAAAACTCAGGCTTGGCAGATTCTGTGAACATGTTGAATGTCGAGGAAGAGTCACTGGACTTGAATTGTTAATTCAAATTTCCTCTCTGCGGATGCTGCTGCACCTGCTAAATTTCTTCTTCATTTTCTGTTCCCATTCCAGATCTCTAGCATTTACACTATTTTACATGTACGCAGTTGAAATGCTCACCTCTTCTAATTAATGGTAAAGATTTTCATTTTTTGCAGGACATCAGAAGCTGCGAACTGACGACTGGAAACTGAAATCAAGTATCGCATCAAACTCTGACCGAGTCACTTAATTCATCAAGATCCAAACATCATCAAGTTTATAAAAACGTTTGTATCCTCTGTCTGTGGGCAAAGATTTCAGCTAAGAATTCGAGTGATTAATTGGTAGAAACCAAACTTCAATGGGATATGAATAGATCTGACTCTGATTAAATTGGAATCAAAACTGCAGCTGAGCAATCCCTGTGAGCTCCACTGTTAACATTCCTGCAGTTTGACTGCTTTTAAATAGAAATAGTTCTGACATTGTCAAGGTATGTTCCCATGCATGGGGACAGGTAGGACACACAAGTCCAAAGTTCCCTGGGTGACAAAGATAAATTCAGGTGGAAAAGGAAAATGCACTTATGACAAATATGAGGTTGATAGTTCAACTGATACCCAGGCTAAATTTGGAATGCTTAGGGAGAATCAAAGATGAAATATCAGAAGGAGAGTAAAAGTACTAAAAGACACCAAAATTAATTTCGACGTGAATGAAAACGTCTTCAGTAGACATGCAGTAAAAATGTGATAAAAGAGAGTTGATCCAATTAGGAACTAAAAGGGAAGCAGAGGAGATGACTAAGGTTTTAAATATAGATTTTGTATCTACCAGTATAAATGAAGAAGATGCTACTCAGGCAATGATAAAGCAAAATGAAATTAAGACACCTGAAGAGTTTAACATTTTTAAAGGAGATACAATTGGATGGTGAGTCAAAGTTGATACGGTATTAGGACCAGATGAAATGCATCCAAGGATTACTGAAGACAGTAACGGTGGAAATTGCAGTGGCAATGACTGTAATTTTCCAATCTCCCTGTGATTTGGGGGTGGTGACAGAAGACTGAAGAATTGCAAATGTTACACTTCTCATAAAGTCATACACCGCAGAGACAGGCCCTTCGGCCCAAACTAGTCCATGCCGACCAAAATTTCGATCCATGCTAAGCTCGTTTCCCTGCACTTGACCCATATCCTTCTAAACCTTTCCTATCAATGTATTTGTCCAAATGCCTTTTAAATGTTGTTAATGTACCCATCTCAACGACTTCTGCTGGCAGCTCATTCCATATACGTACCACGCTCTGTGTAAAAAAAAAAAAAGTTGCCTCAGATTCCCATGCATTCTTTCCCCTCTTACCTTAAACTGATGCCCTCTAGTCTCGATTTCCCCAACCCTGGGGAAAAAGACTGAGTGCATTCACCTTTTCCATGCCTTTCATGATGTTATATACTTCTATAAGATCCCCCTCAGGCTCCTACGTTCTAAAGAAAAACGTCCCAGCTTGTCCATCCTCTCCCAATAACTCAGTCCCTTGAGTCCTGGCAACATCCTTGTAAATTTCTTCTGCAATCTCTCTAAACTGAACACAATATTCCAAGTGCAGACTCACCAACGTCATGTACAACTGCATCATAACTTCCCAACTTCTATACTTATACCCTGGCTGATGAAGGTCAGTGTGCCAAAAGACTTCTTCACTGCCCTGTCTACCTGTGACTACACTTGCAGAGAACCGTGCATCTGATCTCCAAGGTCCCTCTCTTCCACAACACTCCTTGAGGTCCTACCATTCACCATAAAACTCCAACCTGGATTTGACTTTCCAAAATGCAGCACCTCACACTTATCTATATTAAACTCCAATTGCCATTTCTAGGCCCACTTCCGCAGCTGATTAAGATCCTGCTGCAGTTTCTGATGACCTTCCTTACTGTCCATGATACCGCCTATTTTAGTGTCATCCGCAAACTTATTAATCATGTCTTGTACATTCTCATCCAAATCATTGATATAGATAACAAGCAACAATGGGCCCAGCACTGACCCCTGAGGCACACCACTAGTCCCAGGCCTCCAGTCAGGCAAGCATCCTTCCAGTATTACCGTTTGCTTCCTACTATCAGCCAATTGTGTATGCAATTTGCCAGCTCTCCCTGGATTCCATGTGATCTAACCTTCCAGAGCAGCCTCCCATGTTGGAACCTCATCAAAGGCCTTACTGAAATCTGTGTAGACTGCGTCTGCTGCCCTGCCCTCATCAACCTTCCTGGTCACTTCATCAAAGAATTCTAACAAATTTGTGAGGAACGATCTCCCACATACAAAGCCATGCTGACTACTCCTAATCAAATCCTGTTTTTCCAAATGCATGCATATCTTATACCTTAGAATCTTCTCAAGTAACTTACCTACCACAGATGTTAGGCTTACTGGTCTATAATTCCCAAGTTTTTCTTTGCAGCCTTTCTTGAATAAAGGCACAACATTCACTACCCTCCAGTCTTCCAGCACTTCAACCGTGGCTAACGATGATGCAAATATATCAGCCACGGCTGCCACAATTTCTTCTCTAGACTCTTGCAGGGTTCTTGGATATATCTGGTCAGGACCAGGAGATTTATCCACCTTTGTATATTCTAATATTTCCAACACCTCCTGTACTGTGATATGGACTGTCACCAAGATATTGCCACTAACTTCTCCAAGTCCACAAGTCTTCATGTCTTTCTCCACGGTAAACACAGAGGAGAAATATTCATTGAGGACCTCGCCCATCTCTTGCGGTTCAACACATACATGTCCACTTTGGTCCTTCAGGGGTCCTATTCTCTCTCTCGTTATGATTTTTCCTTTAACATACCTAAAGAATCTCTTTGGATTCACCCTTATCTTATAGCCAAAACTAACTCTTGGCCCCTTTTCACCCTCCTGATTTTCTTCTTCAGGTTTCCTGGTTCAGGAAAGATCATAAAGATAAGATCAGCAACTACAAACAGTTAACCTCAGTGGGGAAGCTTCCAAAAATGATAATTCAAAATAAAATGAAAGTAGCTTGAGCAAATTTTAGTTAATTAAGGAGAACCGTCATTTCTAAGCAATTGATGTCTAATGACCTTGCTTATATTTTTTGATGAGGTAATAAAGTTGGTTATTAAGGGTAATGTTGTTGACGTGCTTTACGTGGACTTCTAAAATGCATTTGATTAAATGCTGTGCAACAGACTTGTGACTGAGGTTAGAGCTCATGCAATAAAAGAGACAGCAAAGGGGCTGTCAAGTAGTGCAGTGATAATGTCTGTCCCACTGGAACAGGAGACCCAAGTTCAAGTCCTAAATGCTCCAGAAGTGTGTAGTAACATCTCTGAACGGGTTAATTAGAAGGGACAGCAGCAACTTGAATATGAAATTGGCTGAGTGACAGGAGAGAGAGATTTCTCATTAATAGATGTTGTTCAAACTGCAGGAATGTTAACAGTGGAGCTCACAGGGATTGCTGTTTGGACCCTTGCTTTTTCTAATTTATGTAAAGACCCTAGAGTACGGAGTATAATTTTATATTTTGCAGTGTCTTAAATGAGTGCAGACAGTCTGGCAGTTTCCTTTCCCTGAAGGAGTTTATCACAATCCAGCAGCTTTTGTAGTCACGCTTTTTCAGTGCTGGCCCTGCAAATGATCGTTCATTTCAATTTCACAAAGTGCCTTTTTAAAAATCAATTTTACAGGATGAGAAGATTTCCGGCTGGGAAACTGACACCAAACATCACATCTGGATCTGATGGAGGCACCCAATTTATGACAACCTGAACTTCATTAAATATTGAATATGGAAGGAGCAAACAATGTTCACAGGGGAGAAGAACTGTACAAATGTTCCAAGTGTGGGCAAAGCTTCCATCGATCATCTGATCTGTCACAACATAAATGCAGTCACAGCAGGGAGAAGCCGTGGAAATGTGGGGACTGTGCAAAGACATTCAATTACCCGTCGGATCTGGACATTCATCAGCGCAGTCACACTGGAGAGAAGCCGTTTACCTGCTCCACGTGTGGGAAGGGATTTGCTCGTTCATCCTACCTTCTGTTACACCAACGAGTTCACACTGGGGAGAAGCCATTCACCTGCTCTGTGTGTGGGAAGGGATTTACTCAGTCGTCCAATCTGCAGACACACCAGCGAGTTCACACTGAGGAGAGACCTTTTGAATGTCCAGACTGCGGGAAATTCTATAAAAGTTCTTGGGACCTGATGCGACATCAACGTGTTCATACTGAGGAGAGGCCTTTCAGGTGCTCTAACTGTGGGGCTGGGTTCAAACGGTCATCTCACCTCACTGTGCATCAGCGAGTACACACTGGGCAGAAACTGTTTACTTGCTCGACTTGTGGCAAGGGGTTTACTCAGTCAACCTCCCTGCTGTTACACCAGCAAGTTCACACCGGGGAGAGTCCATTCACCTGCTCCTTGTGCGGGATGGGCTTCACTCAGAAATCCCATCTGTTGACACACCAGCGAGTTCACACTGATGAGAGACCTTTCAAATGCCCAGTTTGTGAAAAGGGCTTCAAAAGTTCTGGCGAACTGATGCGGCACCAACGTGTTCACTCTGACGAGAGACCGTTCAGGTGCTCCGAATGTGGGACTGGGTTCAAGCAGTCAACTCAGCTTACAGTGCACCAGCGACTTCACACCGGGGAGAGACCATTTACCTGCTCTGAGTGCGGGAAGGGGTTCAGTTGTTCATTCAACCTGCTGACACACCAGCGAGTTCATACCGGGGAGAGGCCATTTATCTGCTCCCTGTGTGGGAAGGGATTTACTCAGTCATCCAGCCTGCTGACTCACCAGGGAGTTCACACAGGGGAGAGACCTTTTGCCTGCTCCAATTGCGGGAAGGGATTCGCGCGGTTATCCACCCTACTGACACATGAGAGAGTTCACACTGGGGAGAAACCCTTCAGCTGCTCTGAGTGTGGGAAGGGATTCACTCAGTCATGCCACTTGCAGAGACATGAGCGCACTCACACTGGGGAGAAGCCGTTCGCCTGTACCGTGTGTGGGAAGGGATTCACTCAGTCATCCAACCTCATGACACATCAGCGAGTTCACAAGTGAGTACAGTGGCTGGAGTTTGCCGTCAGTTGTCGAACCATGTTCACTGAGTCTATTTCTGCTGATATTAATAAAGTCCAGCCCAGTTATCAGGGCTAATATTGTACGTAAACAGAAACATACTGAGTTTTATTAAATGTCAGTAAATTCCTTTCTTGGGCCCCTTGTTCTGTTTGGAGGTGGGAGAGATCTGGGGAAGTCACACAATCTTCACTTGAACGTGCTCCTGGTTAGAACAACACTTTGTGGATCCAAGATGTCTGGGGCTCATTTGGGAATCAGTCCAGCTGAATAGAAATAAAGGACCAGGAGTAGGCCGTTTGGCCCCTTGACCCTATTTCACTGTTCAATACTGCACTGTCCTGTCGGCTTCCCATAGAAGGCTGTCTGTATCACTTCCATGGTCTTGTCTGTGCCCGTGTGGCCCTGGAGAGGGTGCATGTGATTCTGAAGGGACTTGATGGGGTACACACTGAAGAGATTGTTTCCTCTGGTAGGAGAAACAGAGAGGCCCAGTCTCTGGAGAAGGGGGTTGCCAATCATTTAGGAGTGAAATGAGGAGACACAATGTCAATTGAAGGAATGTGAATCTGAAATTCTCCACCCCAGCAGGTTGTAGATGCTCCATTGCTGAATACGTTTCAAGCTGGGATATAAACTGGGTCTCCCAGGGATTGGGGGTCGATATGGAAGTGGACAAGAAGAAGTGGAGTGAAGCCCAAGATCAGCCCTGATCATATTGAATGATGGAGCAAGCTTGACTCACCAGATGGTCTCATTGATCATACAGTGGAGAAGAGGCCATTTGGCCCATCAAGACTGTACTGCCAAAAACATACCACTGTCTATACTACTCCCACTTTCCTGTACTAGGCCCATAACTGTGAATGCTATGACACTTCAATTGCTTGTTCAAATAGTTTTAAAAATTGTGAGGTTTCCTGCCTCAACTACTCTCCCAGACAGAGCATTCCAGACCCCCACCATCCTTTGGACGAAAAAGTTTTTTTTTTCCTCACATCCCCTCTAAACCTCCTGGTTTTCACTTTATAAATTATGCTGCCTTGTTATTGACCCTTAAATAAGGGGAACACTGTTTTATATTCACTCTGTCTATATCCCTCATACTCTTATACATGTCCTTCGAGTTCCCCGCAACCTTCTCTGCTCCAAAGAAAACAACCTGAGCTTATCCAGTTCTCTCTTCATCACTGGAATGCTCCATCCCTGGCAATATCCTGGTGAATATCCTTTGTACCCTCGCCAGTGCAATCGTATCCTTCCTACAGCGCAGTGACCAGAACTGCATACAGTACTGCAGCTGCGGTCTAACCAAAGTTCTGTATGATTCCTATGTGACCTCTCTGCTCTTATAATCTATGATATCACTGAAAAAGGCAAGTGTCCCACATCTCTTCTTAACTACCCCATTAACCTGTCCTGCCACCTTCAGGAGGATTTGTGGATAGGCACTCTGTTCCTCTGAGGTTCCGAGTGTCTTACCATTCATTGAGTACTCCCTTGTCTCGTTCCTTCTTCCAAAATGCATCACCTCCCATCTATCAGGGTTAAATTCCATCTGTCCATCTGACCCATCTGTTTGTATTTTCCTGCTAACCTAACACCTTTCTCCTCACTCAACCGTCTTACCAATCTTTATGTCATCCCCCAAACTTAGTTATCATCCCTCCCACGTTCTCACCCACATCATTTATAAATATCACAAGCGATAAGCACTGATCCTGTGGTACACCATTGCGCACTGGGCTGCAATCATACAAATAGCTTTCTACCTTCATCTTCTGCCTCCTATCACTAAGGCAATTTTTGGATCCACCTTGCAAAGTTACCAGGGGTCCCATGAGCCTTTATCTTCTTTATTAATTTCCTACGTGGGACTTCGTCAAAGACCTTTCTGAAATCCATATAAACTATATCAATTGCCCCAGCCTCATCCAAACACTTGGTCACCTCCTCAAAAAATTCCACCAGCTTTGTTAGGCATAACTTCCCTCTGACGAAGCAATGCTAACTGTCCCTGATTAAACCTTCCTTGTCCAAATGGAAATTAATTCTCTTCTTCATTATTTTCTACAATACTTACCACTGATGTTAGACTCACTGGTCTGTAGTTCCTGGTCTGTCTCTATCACCTTTCTTATTAAGTGGAACCACATTAGTCATCATTCAGTCCTCTGGCATCTCTCCCGTAGCCAGAGATGGTTTAAAAATTTGGGTCAGGGCCCCTGTAATTTGCTCCCTCATCTCCCACAACAACATGATGGGCATTTTTTAACTTTTAGATCTACCAAAACCTCCTCACTTCTTATATCAGTCTGCTTCTATCTCTTGTGTTCTTCCACAAACGGAGGATACCTTAGAATATAAAATGTCTCAGACACTGACATTGATATCCTGGTTTAGTTAGTAAGGTTCCCTTTGCTTTCCTTGGAAATTTGTTGGTTTTGATTTCTTAGTTTCATTACCCCATCTGTTTGAGAGAATAAAAGAGGAAGAAGTTCCAGAGAAACTAGAATTGTCTGTTCTGAATTTCTAAGCTGGATTGACAATAATGCTGAACGTCAACTCTTTATACAGGGTGCTGGAAGGGAATAATTTGCAGACAGGAAATTCAAACCAAACATAACATGGAGATCTGGAGTCACTCGATTGATCAGAACCTAAATAATAGTGGTCTTTGACCGTGGAAGGAGAAATGTCTGTCGCAGAAAGTGGTTTTAAAAAGTAAATGTGACTATGGAAAGAGCTTTAAACAGTTTACACAAAGTGGGGAAAAGGCACTGCACCATTAACAACGGAGAGAAATCATGTATGTGTTGTGTGGGTAGACGAGATTTCAAATGATAATCCAATCTGGAGAGAAATACACAACAGCTGCATCATGGAGAAACCATGGAAATGGGAAGACTGGGAGAAAGGATTCAATTCCCATCTGAGATGGAAATCCCTTGGCGTAATCACATTGGGGAGAGAATGTCTCCTACTCTGGGAAAGAGTTCACTTGGCCATCCGCCTAACAGTAGACCAATTTGTTCACTCTGACGCAAGACTCGTTAAATGTTCAGACTCTGAGATGAGCTTTAAAAGTCAGCATAGTCTGTTGACCCACCAGCAGATTCACGCTGGGAGAAACCATTCGCCTGCTTTGTGGGTCCGATGCAATTCACTCAGTCGTACATACTGTTGACATATCAGTGAGTTCATGCTGATATGAAGCCCTGTAAATGTCCTGACTCTGGAGAAAGTTTTAAAAGTAGCAGTGATCTGCAGAGACACCAGCGAGTTCATAAGTGCAGGCACTGGATTCTGCTGTTGTTCATCACATCCAGGACTTCACTGTGTTCATTCTGAGAGAATTGGTTTCCATTGATGTAAGTAGTCACTATAACTAGGTTGATGTTTAATATTCTGGATATAGATTAACTAAAGCAGCTTTGTATCAAACACACAGCCATCAAGCCCCTGTGGGGAGACTGATGACCTGTCACTGAGTGTTTCATTTTTTGGCTCCTTTTTCCTCTGTTGATGGAAGACTTGTATTGGTTTAGCACCTTTCACCACTTCAGAATGACTGATAGCGCTCCACAGCCATTTGAAATGTAGCCTGTGTTGTAATGTAGGAAACTGCTACAGCAAATGTGCGTAGCACGATCCCATATTTAGAAATGTGATAAGAGAATCCTTACAGTGCAGAAAGAGATCATTTGGCCCATTGAGTCTGCACCAACTCCCTGAAGAGTATCCCACCCAGACCCCCCTACTACTACACCCCCCCCCCCCCCCCCCTCCCCCCCCCCCCCCCCCCACCCCCATCTTATCACCGTAACCCCACATTTAGTATGGCCAATCCACCTAACCTGCATGTCTTTGGACTGAGGGAGGAAACCGGAGCAGCTGGTGGAAACCCAAGCAGATAGGGGGAGAATGTGCAAACTCCTCACAGACAGTCCACCCAAGTCTGGAATTGAACCTGGGCAGCCACTGAGTGGCCCAGTCTGTTTGTTCAATGATGTTTCTTGAGGGATAAGTATAGAACAGTTCACCAGCAGAACTCCCCTACTCTTCACAATAACCTCATGAGAACTTTCCCACCCAGCTCAGCGGGTAGCCGGAGCATTAGTTGGAGATTTTGTCTGGGAGAGGGGACCTCTGACAATGTATTGCCCCCTCAGTACTGCTATGGAATATCAACCTGGATTTTCTGCTCCCATTTCTGGGTAAGGATTTCAACCTTTGACCTTGTCGCTGAGAGATGTGAATGCAACCATTGAGCCATGATTGACATGTGGGATTATTTCAGTTCAGTTACTCTCATGGACAAGTATGAGACTTTGGTCTAGGATTAGCCGAAAAGGATGTTCAAGTCATAGGTGATTTAAAAACATTTTATTAAGAAGCAAAAGGTCCGACACGATACAGAAGGGGCAGAAAATACATACAACCATTACAGTGAGAACGGTTCACTGGTCCCAGATGGACAAATAGAAACCGTGAGATCCCACAGTGTGGAGCTGGAGGAACCCAGCAGGTCAGGCAGCATCAGAGGAGCAGGAAAGCTGATGTTTCGGGTTGGGACCCTTCTTCAGAAAATGAAATGGAAACCATGCTGTTTCTCCTTTTGTCAGTCTTCCTAATCTGGCTGGAATGTTAGACTGAAGCCAGCCTCAATCACTCTGAAAACCTGGTTTACACGTGAAGCATGAGATTTCCCCCCCTCCCCTCCACTGCTACTCTCTGTCTTTCAAATTCTGTGCTAAATATGTGGTAACAGGCATCGGTTGTCCTCTGCTTGTCAATTCGGTATGCTTTCTTTATAAGAGAGAGAGCACTATTCAAAAACAACAAAGAAGTACGGCACAGGAACAGGCCCTCCAAACCTGTGCCGATCATCGTGCCCAAACTAAACTAAAAAGCAAACCTTCTGCCCTAATTCAGTCCGTATCCCTCTATTTCCTCCTTATTCATGTGACCATCAGTTGTCTCCTAAATGTCGCCAATGTGCCTGCTTCCAACGTCTCCTCTGATACTGCATTCCAGGCTCCTACCACTCTCTGCATGAAAAACTTTGCTCCCTTAAAACTTTTGCCCTCTCGCCTTGAACCTCTGTCCCCTTGTAATTGAAATCTCAACCCTGGGAAAAAGCCTTGTAATTTTGTACACCTGCATCAGGTCTCCTCTCAGCCGCCATCTTTACAGTGAAAACAGTCCTAGTCTTTTTAAGCTTTCTTTGTAGCCAATCCCCTCCAGACCAGGCAGCATCCTGGTGAACCTTCTCTGCACTCTCTCCAAAGCTCCCAAGACCTCCTGGTAATGTGGCAACCAAAACTGCACATAATACTCCAATATGGCCTAACAAGGGTTTTATAAAGCTGCAACATGTTTTGCCAACATTTTTACTCCATGCCCTGGCCAATGAAGGCAAGCATGCCATATGCCCTCTTAATCATTTTGGCCACCTGCGCTGCCACTTTTGGGGAACTGTGGACCTGCATGCTCAAATCTCTCTGTATGTTAATGTTCCTAAGGGTTCTGCCATTAACAGTATAATTCACACCTAAATTTGATCCTCCAAAATGCATCACCTCACATTTGGCTGGATTAAACTCCATCTGCCATTTCTGTGCCCAAGTCGCCAATCTATCTATATCCTGTTGCATCCTTTCACAATCGTCAGCACTATCAGCAACTCCAATCTTCATGTCATCTGCAGACTTACTAATCAGACCGCCCACGTTTTCCTCCAGATCATTTACATATACTACAAATAACAGAGGACCTAAAACTGATCCTCATGAAACACCAATATTTACCGGTCTCCAAAACACCCTTCCACCTCTACCCTCTGTCTTCTACAACCAAGCAAGTTTTGTATCCATCTAGCCAGCCCATCCCGAATCCCATGTGATTTTAGTTTTTGTACCAATTTGGCATGTGGGACTTTATCAAATGCCTTACTAAAGTCCATATAAACTACATCCACAGCTCTTCCTTCATCAATTATCTTTGTCACCTCTTCAAAAAATTCAATCAGGTTGGTGAGACATGACCTTCCTGTATGAAACCATGCTGCCTGTCACTAACCAGTCCATTTTCTTCTAAATATGCATATATCCTGTCCCTCAGTACCTTTTCCAAGAGCTTCCACACCACAGATGTCAGACTCATCGGCCTATAATTTCCTAGATTATCCTTGCTTCTTTTCTTAAACAAGGAAACAACATTGGCTAATCCCTAGTCCTCTGGAACCTCGCCTGTAGTCAAGGAGAATGTGAAAATATCTGCTAATGCCCCAGCTATTTCTTCCCTTGCCTCTCGCAGTAACCTGGGATAGATCCCATCTGGGCCTGGGGACTTGTGTACCTTAATACAATTCAGGATACCCAAAACTTCCTCCTTTAATATTCCTATAATGTTCAACAAAGTTAAGATTTTAATGAAGGTATTAAATAGTGATTCTTATAGGTCTCCCAACATTGGGAAGAGAATATAATTGTGGACACATACATGGAACCATAGAATCCCGATAGTGCACAGAAAGGGTATTTGGCCCATCTAGTCTTCACTGACCCTCCGCAGAGCATCCCATTCTATCCCCATAACCCGACATGTCCCATGGCTAACCCACCAAGCCTACTCATGGCTGGACACTATTGGGCAATTTACTATGGCCAATCCGCCTAACCTACACATCTTTGAACTATGACAGGAAACCAGACAACCTGGCAAAAACCCACGCAACAAGGGGAGGATGTGCAAACTCCACACAAATAGTCACCCAAGCCTGGAATTGAATCTGCTGCTGTAAGGCAACAGATTAGATTAGATTTATTTATTTGTCACATGTACTAAGTATAGGAATACATAAGTACAGTGAAAAGTGCACAAAACCGCCATTCACTGGCGCCCACTTGGTTACAAAAACCAGAGTTAAAAGATTTAACAGACCCAAAAGGTAAGCAAGAAAAAAAATCCAGAACCCAGAGTCACAAGTACCATCTCCACAACAGTGCAGATTGCACAATGCAATCACTAGGCCACCGTCGCCACTTTACCAGCCCATTCTTGCCACCAACTGCTGCTGCCTCACCAGGCCACTCTCACCATCGACATCGCTCTGGCCCACACTCAATCCGCTGTCACTGCAGGACACAGCCTGCGCGTTCAGCTCCCACCACACAGTTCCCGGTTGCAACCCGACTCCTCCTCGAGTCCTTAGGTACGTAGTTAAAAGGGCAGGGATGGGGAGGGGGGGATAGAATTACTACAGAGAGATGAGAGAAGAAGAGAAAAGAAAGGGAACTGGCCAGTAGAATGGAGCTCTGAATGGAGCGACTTACCCTGCCACTATCTTGCTCTGTAAGTACTAACCACTGAGCCACCCAATCAATATATAACACTTAACCTGATGAAGGCAGTTTCTCCAATTCCCACTTGGTTTTGTGATTTTCTCTATTATTCTAAGTGGGGCATCGTATTAATTCTGCTCAATCACATTCAGGAGCACTGGAGGAATTTTACTGTCCAATTGAATATTCTCATTATCTGCTCTCCCCTTATGGGAGAGTCTAGGACCAAAGGGGTCTCAAAATAAGGGGTCCCACATTTAAGGCAGAAATAAGGAGGAATTTTTTCTTCCAGAGGGTTGTGAATGTGTGCAATTCTTTACTGCAAAGGGCTGTCGAGGCCAAGTTGTTAAATACATTCAAGTCTAAGATTTTTAATCAGTAAGAGAATCAAGGGTTATGAGGAAAAGGCAGGAAAGTGGAGTAGAGGATTATCAGATTAACCCTGCTCTCATTGAATAGCAGAGCAGACCCAATAGACTGAATGACCTGTTTCTGCTCCTACAACTTATGATCTTATGGTGTTTGTAAATCAGCAGCAGAACTCCTATGTATCTCTTGTTCTTGAACATTTACTCTTGAAAGAAATGGGATGAAGCCAGATTTCTTAAAAGGCAAAGTCTTTTGTTTATATTGTCACTGTGTTGCCAGTGGAAAGTGTTAATTTTTTGACTCACTTTAGCAAATGTTCACAATCACATCAACTTTATGTAACTTTTATTTCCAGGTCAAAGATCCAAACACCAGTTTAATCTTTGTTTTTCCAATTCTTTTGGCATTTTCTCAGCTTTGCCCGAAGTTTGCTACTTATTTTGCTCTTTCTCCAGGTGCCTTTATTACAGCGTAATATAATAAACTGTTGAAAAATAAGACTGAAAAGATTTGCTTTCAAAAGTAAACAAAAGCTTCAAACTTTTCAGATTAAAAAGAGGTAATGAGGCTGGAGTTTCCCACTGCTTGTGAGCTCCAGATCATAACCTTAATTATGTAATTATCTTCAGGGAATCACTGTGCTGCCTTTACACTACAAGTAAGTTGTTATTCATCATGAGAAGTTTACTCCCACTCAGTAATTATAACATTTCACTCTTCTCAGTACAGAAGCTAGCAGAATTTTCAATTAAATACCATTTGGACACTTCTCTTGCAGCTGGCATATGTCCACTATTGATCTGACACCACAGAAACTGCACTGTAAATAAACTGTTTTAAACCTGACCCTCCTTATCATGCTGAGTGAGATCTCCCTGTGGTTTTTGCAGTTTCCTCTTGCACCTCGGTTTTTATAAGCTCTCAAGATTTTAGCATCAAATGTGTCCTGTGCAAAAGAACCCTAGCTCCCAGCAAAGGAGGTGGTGAGGGTGTGACTGTCGATCACAGTTTCTGTGCTTGAGCAGGTCGGTTGGAATGCCAGTATTGACAAGTGTCTTTTCACTTGCTCAGGAATCAATGGCTTTTTCAAGCGTAAGATGAGGGTTTCTCATCTGACACAACAATGACAGGAAGCTGCAGAACAGCATCAGGCAGAGACTGGGTGATGTCCAACTCAGGAGTACTTTTCACACTCAGTCATCCGTTTACTGCTGTCAGTGAGGACTTCACTGCCTGATGATATATCAAGGAGGCAATTTTGGGAATGTTTGGGCCAAGCACCCTCTTGATCCCATCATGGCATGTAGATTTCTGTTGTCATGGGAAATTGAATTTCTTAACGTAGACAGATTGAGCGTTTACTTGCACAGTATCTGGCCCATTGCATAATTCTCTTGGCTACTTTCAAGTGAGGCAGTCTTCTGGTTGTTGTGTTAATATTGTGCATCAGGTCGGTTTTGCCACACATCATCCTAATTTGGAAATATATCACTGTTTCTTCACTGCACTGGGTGAAAAATCCTGGATCTCCTTTCTTTACCTCACTGTGGGTTTCCCTCCACTTCAAGGACTGCAGCGATTCCAGCAGGTAGCTCCATCACCTCCTCCTCCCAGGCAATTAGGGATGGGCAATGAACGTTGGTCTAGCCAGCGCTGCCCAAATCTCGAGTGAACTTTTAAAAATTTGCAATGAAAATCAATTTCGGATTGAAATATAAATTCATAATTTTATTGTAAGTGATTTTTGTTGAAACATTTTTAAATTTTGTCTTTCATGGGGTCTGGACATCACTGGCAAGTCAGGCAAGTGTTGTTCATTCCTTGTTTCGCCTGGTACTGAGTGACTGCAGGTAAATAAAACGCAACCGCATTGCTGTCTGGAGTCACATGTAGGCGAGACCAGAATAAGACTGCAGATTTCCTTCCATAAACAGCATTAGTGAACTAGATGGGTTTAAATTTAGGGCAGCATGGTGGTTAGCACTGCTGCCTCACAGCGCCAGGGACCTAGGTTCGATTCCACCCTCAGGTGCCTGTCTGTGTGGAGTTTGCACATTCTCCCGGTGTTTGTGTGGGGTTCTTCCAGGTGCACTGCTTTCCTCCTACCGTCCAAAGATGTCCAGGTTAGGTGGATTGGCCATGTGAAATGCACAGTTATGGGGTGGGTCTTGGTGAGATGCTGTTCGGGGTGGGGGGTCAGTATGGACTTGATGGGCCAAATGGCCTGCTCCCACACTTGGGATTCTTTGAAATTAAACTGGATTAAGTGTAAGCATCACAGATACCTTTTCAGACAACAGCCACAAAAATCAGTGACATTTACAGAATACTAATCTCCAGCCTTTTATAGGAATTGTTAACATGGTTAGCAGCAGGATTTAACCCCAGTTATCATTTATGAACTCGCTGATGTGTCAGCAGGTTTGATGGCTGACTGAAACCCTTCCCACACACAGAACAGATAAATGGTTTCTCCCCAGTGTGAGTTCGCTGGTGTATTACCAGGTTAAAAGACTTTGTGAAACTCCTCCTACACACAGAGCAAGTAAATGGCCTCTCCCCTGTGTGAGTTCGCTGATGTATCAGCAAGTTGGACGGATGAGTGTATCCCTTCCCACACACAGAGCAAATGAAGCATCTCTCCCCAGAATGAACTCGTTGATGAGCAATAAGATTGGGTGAAGACCTGAACCTTTTTCCACAATTTGAGCAGCTGAAAGGCCTCTCTTCAGTGTGTGTTTGTTGGTGTTCAAGCAAATGGGAGGATCGAGTAAATCCTTTCCCACACTCGGAGCAGGTGAATGGTCTCTCACCTGTGTGAACTCGCAGGTGTGCAGTGAGGTTGGACGAAGACCGGAACCGCTTTCCACAACAAGTGCACCTGAATGGCCTCTCCTCAGTGTGAGTTTGTTGGTGTGACTGTAGGCAAGATAACTGAGTAAATGCCTTCTCACAGACCGAGCAAGTATACGGCTTCTCACCAGTGTGACTGCGTCGATGGTTTTCCAGCAGAGATGGGTAGTTGAATCCTTTACCACAATCTTCACATTTCCATGGTTTCTCCATCGTGTTGCTGTCCTTCTCCAAGTTGAACAATCATTAGAAGCTTTGTCCACTCACAGAACGCATATAAACACACACACTCCGTTGTGAATGGTGCAATGTTTGTTCAAACTGCACAACTGGTTCATGTACTTCTGGTACACTCATATTTTGGAGGACTGGCGGGGTTGCTTCTCGGGTTTCACAGTATCTTTTCAGCCGCACAGATATCTAAAACATTTTCACACACGCAGAACATAACAAACCTCAATCCTTCCACAGAGGCTGATCATATTCATCCAGATCCTAGTCTGCTTCTTCATTTGTGTTTCCCCTCAAGCATTCCTCCCGCATTTTAAGATCCTGCAAAAAAGGAGTTCACGGACCCTGTGAAATCAAACCGCATGACTTGGTGGGAAAAGCAAGGGAGAGAGTTTACAAAATTCTCCTCCTCCACTCGCTCAGCTGGAGGGCAGCGCAGGCGCACTGCAGCACCGGCGCAGGGTGGGCACACTGTCCGGAGCAGGCGCAGTGAAGCTGTTACCAGCTGTCGGGCTCGATCCTGTCTCGTTTTGGAGCAGCAGCCGCTGAAGTGGGGGGGCGGCGAGGGGAAGAAAACCGAGCGGCTTCTCGCTCTGACCCCAGCCGGTTGCCCTGAAAACCTTTGTCTGGACGAGCGTGCGGAAAGTGGGGGGAAACAATGAGTGGGGGCGGAGCTCCGCACCCGTTCGCCTATCCTGCAGCAGGGAAGCCGAGGGCGTCACCACCGAGCACTGCGATTCGTATTGGCTTCTTGAGTCATTTTTCCCGCCCCCAAGGTTGTCGTTACAATGCGTCTCAATGCCCAATGAGCTTCGAGAGGGAAACTACTTCCGCTGGTGCACACTCAGGTAGTGAATCACTGTCTTTCATCTTTTGCATTTCTTTTCTCATCCTGAGAGGGTGTGAAGGAGGGGAGAAGCTGTTCATTTACAGCACACTAAGTCATACGAAGTGAGTCTAGGGAGCGGGCGGATTTTGGAATGGTTAGTTCTGCAAACTGGGCCTGAATTTTCGAGATTATGAAAGAATCAGATCAATTATGATTTACAGAATGCTTCAAGGAACAGTTAGGTAAGATGTTTCCCCTGGCTTGGGTGTCAAGGAGCATAGGACTGAATTTTAAAACTACGAGCATGCCATTTAAGATCAAAATGAGGAGATTTTTCATTTTACATCTGAGATCTGTGGAAGCTCAGCCCTTAAGGATGTTTAGAGTAAAGATCAATGCAGTTCTTAATATTAATGGCATAAAGGGTTAAATGGATACTGTGGGTGCAAGGCTTTGAAGTATTTGATCAGCGATGTCCTGTTTAAATGGTAAAGCAGGCTTGGCAGATTGAACGTCCTCCTCTTGTTCCTGTCAGGCCTCTCTCTTAAAACTGTTGTCATTTTCACTCCCATAGCTTGGTACATTTAGTTTTCTGGTTAAAAGGATGGACTCTATCCTAATGTTCACAATAAAAGTGATGGTTTCCCAAGAAAAGACTCAATTTTAAGAGGACAGTAAATTCATATAATACCAAGATATATCTAGTGTTGTTCCTTAGTACATATTTGATGTATAGTTCTCTAAACTTTATTTACAATTCTTTCTAGTCTTATAATACAGCATTGTAGGTACAATGTGTTTCTAGTGATCAATATGGCACAGGAGTCCATTCAGCAATTTGAGTACACACTAACTCATCGGATCAATCCAGTGAGTTCCATGACTTCTCTGTATCCCCATAGCCTTGCAAGTTTTTTTACCTCAGCGGCCGTACAATTTCAATTTGATGTCATTGATTGTCTCTGCCTTCATCTTGCTCATTGGCTGTGATCCCAGGTCATGACTGTACATCTGGCACTGTCTCTAATCAGAAATGGTGTACTGTATATAGCAGGCTTTTTTTTAAAAATACACGAATATGTGCATATGTATAGGGTGAAGATTTTCAGAATTTTGTGTCCTGGAAAGGAAATGTTAAGCTTGGATCTGTCAATTAGCCTGAGTTGGCACTTTCAAGATCATTAGTTACAACAGACTGAGAATGGAGGGAGAGAGTGTGGGAAGGTTGCTCACAGCTTTTGGAGATAGAAGAGAGAAAAGAAAGAAATTAGAATTATCTGTTCTGAATTTATATCCTTTACTGACAATCCCAACTTTTGTAAACTCCTTTTACAGTATGTTGGAAGGGGAGGATTTGCAGACAGAGATTTCAAACCAACAGCCATGTCAAGATCAGACTGAATCACTTGATTGTTCAGAATGTGACTATCAAAGGTCTCTGCGTCTATGAGACAAAATGGCATTTGTCTGTTTTGCCTACTTCAGTAGGTTTTACACATCATTAAGTGGAAAAACAGGAGATATAACCAAGTGAGAGTGCTATAGTGTATTGACTGTGCAAAGAAACTGAAGCAGTTACACAGCCTGAAAACAAATTGCACCATTCACAATGGGGAAGAGACAGTACATGTGTGTTGCGTGCAGATGAAGCTTCCACCGATCATTTAACCTGAACATACAAGGAACACCCACACCATGGAGAAACCGTGGAAATGTGAGGACTGTGGGAAGGGATTCCGTTCCCCATCTGTGCTGGAAACTCATCGACGCAGTCACACCGGGGAGAGGCCTTTCACCTGCTCCGAGTGTGGGAAAGGATTCAGTGATTCCTCCACTCTGAAGAGACACCAGCGGGTTCATACGAGACAGAAGCCATTCACCTGCTCCATGTGTGGGAAGGGATTCACTCAGTCCTGCCACCTGTCGCTACATCAGCGAGTTCACACCGGGGAGAGGCCCTTTACCTGCTCTGAGTGTGGGAAGGGATTCACTCAGTCATCTGTGTTGCTGAGACACCAGCGGGTTCACATCGAGGAAAGGCCGTTCACCTGCCCCGTATGCGGGAAGGGATTCACTCAGTCATCAGACCTGCTGACCCACCAGCGAGTTCACACCAAGGAGAGGCCGTTCTCCTGTTCCACGTGTGGCAAGAGTTTTGCTCATTCGTCCACCCTGCTGAGGCACCAACGAGATCACAGCGGGAAGAGGCCATTCACTTGCTCTGAATGTGGGAAGGGCTTCACTCAGTTTTCTGACTTGGTGCGGCACCAGCGGGTTCACACTGGGGAGTGCCCTTTTATCTGCTCCACGTGTGGGAAGGGATTCAGTCAGTCATCCAGCGTGCTGAGACACCACAGCAGTCACACCAACGAGAGACCTTTCGAATGCCCTGACTGTGGGAGTAGCTTTAAAACAGCTGAGGACCTGATGGTGCACCAGCGGATTCACACCGAAGAGAGGCCGTTTGGCTGCTCTCACTGTGCCAAGAGGTTCAGAACAGTATCCAGCCTGCGGAGACATCAGCGAATTCACACTGGGGAGAGGCCATTCTCGTGCTCTGTGTGTGGCAAGGGATTTACTCAATCATCCAACCTGCTGACACACCAGCAAGTACATGAATGATGACAGTTTTTGGACTCTGCTTGTAACCACATCCAGGGCTGAGCCCTGTTCATCCTGACAGTAGGTGAGGTGGGCAAGTTGGAGGGTTTCTTTCTGCCGGACCGGCCACTCTCACCACTTTGCTTCCAGTGAGGCTGATGCTGTTTGAATCTGGAATTCACATTCCCACTGAAATGATCCTTTAAAGTTAATGACGTAATTTTTTTCTCTTAAATCCATGAAAGTACATCATCTTGTTTTTAAATCCATCAAAGGTGGACCTGAAATAAATATATTTGTCTCTGTTCCATCGAGTCTCCAGCACAGGGCCAGACAAGTCAGCTCAATTGATCTCTGTCAATATTTATGTTCCACCTGAGCCTGCACCCACCTCACTATAGCTCCACCTCCATCAGCACATCCGCCTGTTCCAGGAACTGCCAAACCAGCAGCTCACAAGCCTCCTTTGCAGATAAAGCAGGGCTTTACAGATAAGGTGGGCAGTTGTGAATCTAGATTGTTCTGAAGAATTTCCTAGAGCCCTGCCCGGGGAAGGGCGGGGTAGGTGCTCTCCATCCACTGGCCCAGTCGAGCCTGTCGAAAGGAGCAACAGCGAGGGTGAGCCCTTTTGTGGCCATGCCTAAAACCAAACGGTGCCTAAAATCAAACTCTGTGTCTATCTGTGATGCAGGACTGAGGGGACATCACTCCCTTCCAACTGTGGGCAAAATTTTAAAGGGTTGTCAACGCACTGAATCTTCTCTAAATGCAACTTGAGGCATGGAAACCAGCAGCTGGAATTTCGTCCTGTTTAAGGGAGGGCATAACTTATTTCCTTCATTATGGACTTCGCCAATACAAGTGATTGTTCTTGCCACAGGCAAACAGCAATGTTTCTTGGCGAAGGAGACCAGAACTGCACACAGGCTCCAGGTGTGGTCTCACGAAGCCCTGCTCAGTTTCAGTAAGACCTCCTCGCTCCTGTACTCAAATCCTGTTGCAATGAAGGACAAAGTTCCATTTGCCTTCCTAACTGCTTGCTGCACCTACATATTTGCTCTGAATGACTGGTGTACAAGTACCTGCAGGTCCCTTTGCACATCAACATTTCCAAATCCATCACCACGAAGATAATACTCTGCCATTCCGATTTTTTTTAATTTTTATCTATCAAAGTGGATAACTTCACAATTATACTGTGCGTCTGCCATAAGTTTGCCCATTCCCTCAATTTTCTAAACCCCCCCAAAGTCTCTTTATGTTCTGCCCACTCTCAATCCCCCTAGTTTTGGGTGAATAAACTTTAAAAGTATTAGATTTGATTCGGCCATCCAAATTGTTGATGTATGCTTTGAGTAGCTGGGGGCCAGGCACTGATCATTGCAGTGCCGTACTTGTCAAAGCTAAAGACTCCGAAAAGATTCACTTATTTCTACTGTCTGTTTCGGGTCTGCTGACCAGTTCTCAATCCATGCAAGTATATTACTACCAATCCCATGTGCCTTGATTTTGCACACTAACCTTTTACGTGGGACTGTTATAAAAAGTGGTCAAAAAGTTCAATTTCTCCCATCTACTGGTTTTCCTATTCCTATTCTATTAGTTATCCTTAAAAACTCCAGTAGTATTGTCAAACATAATTCCCCTTTCATAAACCCATATTGACTTTGTGTAACCCTGTTGTTATTTTGTAAATGTCTGGTTATCACATCCTTCGTAGTTTACTTCTGCATTTCCTTGCTACTGATGTCAAGCTCATCAGCCTTTGAATCTAGGAGAAATATTTCTCTATTCTGTCTGGAAAAGCTGAGAAAATCATTGAGAGATACACACACAGGTGAGTGAGTGTTACAGTGCACTGACTGGAGAAAGATCTTCAGTCAGTTACACAACTTAAAAACATGTTGCAGCATTTACAGTGAGGAGAGGCTGTGTACATATTCACTCCATCCATCCTGCTGACACGAGCAAATTTACACCAGGGAAGGACCGCTTCCCCATGTCAGAAGAAACTCACTCAGTCCTTCATCTTGCTGAGGCTTCGGTGAGTTTACAGCAGGGAGAGGCTCTTCACCTCCTTATCAGCTGTTTTGAGACACCAGTGAGTTCACAAATGATCAGTGTTACGATTCGGCAAGAAGCGATGAACAAATGGGAGTCAGTTCAGTCTCCTCCATGGGCCACAACAAAGTGCTCGGTTCCTTTTGCTTGCTGCTCTACCCCTCTCTCTGATTTTAAAAATATAATTTCCTTTGTTTTGCTGTAATAAGGAAGGAACCAATCAATACGATTCACAAGGCAAAGAAACAGCAAATTTATTACCTGTTAAAGGCAATTTTTAAAAAAGACTGATGTTAAGCATACAGCTTTTGTTTTGTCAATTGTGCCCACACACACAGGTACACAGTTAAAGAGAAATGGTGTGTGATATAAAGGAAGATAAAAGAACATAACCTTGAATGTCTGTGGTTGTTTTGAAGTCTAACTTTTGTTTAACCTGAGCTGATGTGGTTTTGCATGTTTGTAGGTTGCGGTCAGATGGAATGAATGTTGCAGTGACTGGAGACAACTTCATTCAGAGCCAATTTTCTCTAAAGCGAGAATCTTTTTTTTAAAACAGAACTGGGCACTACTTTCAAAGGGAGAGAAAGTTCTTAATCTGGAAGTTTGTGTAAATTCCTGAATGTTATTCCATTTTTTTAAAAAAATCTCCTTCTTGAGTAAAAACCACATGCTTCTAATCATGGCTACTCCCAGGAGACCCAATTTTGTATCTTAACTACTTATTTAGCACCTTTTCAAGTGCCTTGTGAAAATCTAAATGCATTCTCGACAAAACTGTTTATGTTGAACCACTAAATGTGATTTGGAATTCATTGCCTGAAAGTCACCTGGAAGAAAATTCAACTAGATCCTTCAAAAGGATATTGGACATTTTGTCAAAAGGGGGTAAAATGCGAGGCTAAGAGATTAATTGGATACCTCTTCCAAAGAGACAGCATGAGCACAATGGGCTGAATAGCCTCATTCCACGTACTATGAGCCTTGTGTACATTTCAAGGGGAGGGAGAATCATCTTGAATTGTGGAATGACATATAATCAAAAGTAGGGGTGACTGTTTAAGCCTGAAATCCCCCCATCACATTCTCTGAAGTGGCAGATGAAATTTAACGCAGTGAAGGGTTCAGGAAGGATTTACAAGGACGTTGCCAGGGTCGGAGGGTTTGAGCTATAGGGAGAGGCTGAATAGGCTGGGGACGTTCTCTGTGGGAACATCAGAAGCTGAGGGGTGACCTTGTTGAAGTTTGTAAAATCATGAAGGGCGTGGATAGGGTGAATATCCGAGGTCATTTTCCCAGGGTGGATGATTCCAAAACTAGAGGGCATGGATTTAACGTGAAAGGGAAGACATTTAAAAGGGACCTAAGGGGCAACTTTTTCGCACAGATGGTGGTGCGGATATGGAATGAGCTGCCAGAAGAGGTGATGGAGGGTGGTACAATTACAACATTTAAGAGGCATCTGGATGGATATATGACTAGGAAGGATTTAGAGGTATATGAGCCAAATGCTGGCAAATGGAACTAGATGAATTTAGTATATTTGGTCGGCATGGACGAGTTGGGTGGAAAGGTTGTTTCTGTGCTGGACATCTCTATGACTAAGTGTGAGTGGATGTGATTTGACAGAAGGTCTAGGGTGAGGTGATGTAAATCAAATGCAGGGTTCTAAAGAGTGAGTAGGAACAGAGGGACCTTGGAATTCATGTGCAGAGATTGGCAAAGACTGCAGAATAACAGAAGAATTAACGGATCAGATGGTAATTTAGACTCAGAAATAGAGACACCGAGGACTATGGCAGTGAAGTTCTCCTGAACACTTTTTAAAGCTCTAGTTAGGTCACAATTATTGGAGTACTGTGGCCAGATCTTGACACCACACATTCGGGACGATGTGAAGGTCCCCAACAGTGCAGAGGAGGTTTACCAGAAAGGTTCCAGGGATGAGTGGATTATTCAGAAGGTGAGAATAGAGAAACTGGGAATGTTCTCCTTGAAGTAATAGAATTTGAGGGTAGATTTGATAGAGATGAAGATAATAAGGACAGTTTGACATAAAGTAGACAAGGAGAACATCTGTTCTCATCGGCTGGTGTTACAGGGACAAGGCGGAAACTTAAGATTTTGTGCAGGGGAAATGTTACATTCAAAATTTAGAAACTTCAATGGAAATGTGGTTCTCAGGGAGGGAATGCACTGTAGCCCCATTGTGCTGGGCTGGAGTTACCATCCAATCAATGCCTTCCACCAGAGTATCATTCACCTCAGTTGAAACAATCAACAACCGTAGTCAGAGCCCCTAAGCAATCTCCGTGTGTCTGCCACGGGAGCTCAAGACTTACTCATTGAATCCTTTCCCAGACTCAGAGGGGCTGTGCATTCTCTCTCCCCGGTGTGAACCCACCTGTGCTTCCAGAGGCTGCAGGAAATGGTGGATTCCTTTCCCCCTTCAGACTAGGTGAGGAACAGCCGCTGTCCTCTGTGTGAACTTGCCTGTGTTTCCGGAGATTGGATAAATGAGTGAATCCCTTACCGCGCTCTGAGCAACAGAATGGCCTTTATCCAGCGTGAACACGTCGGTGGGTTAGTACATCAGTAGACCGAGTGAATTTTTCGCGCGCAAAGAGCAGGTGAATGGCCCGTCTTCAGTGTGAACATTTCGGTACAACAACAGGTTGGATGACTGAGTGAATCCCTTCCCACATGCTGAGCAAGTAAACGGCTTCTCCCCAGTGTGAACTACCTGGTGGTTCTGCAGGGTAAGATGATTCACTGAACCCTTTCCCACACACGGACCAGATAAATGGTCTCTCCCTGGTGTGAAGCCAAGCGGGATAATGGAGTGAATCCCTTTCCACACGTGGAGCAGTTGAATGGCCTCTCCCCAGTGTGAATATGGTGATGGAGTTCAAGTGTAGAGGGGACCCGGAATCCTTTCCCATAGTCTCCACGTTTCCATGGTTTCTCAGTGCTGCAGTTGCCCTTCTGCCTCTCCAGGTTTAACAATCAGTTCAAACTTTGGACACATCAGACATGTGTACGTCCCTCTTCACTGTGAATAGTGTGATGCCTTTTCAGGCTATGTAACTGGTTAAAGATCTTCCGGCAGTTGGTACACTGAGCCCTCTTAGTCTTACTGTGTCTGTATTCTGCTGTTTTTCAGTCACATTAATATTTAAAACCCGCTGAAACAAACAGAACAAACATTTCTTTTTCTGGACTCGTATACTGACAATATTTAACTGCAATGAATCAAATGACTGTCAGATCTTGACATGAAGTTTGTTTCGAGATTTCAATATCCTAATCCTCCCCTTCGATTATCCTGTGAAAGGCATGTTCAAATTTCTTCAGGTCAGAGGTGTGGCCATGGGTACCCACATGGGGCTCAGTTATGCTTGTCTCTTCAGTCGGTATGTGGAACTTTCCTCATTGCAGTCCTATTCTGGACCCCTCCCACAACTCTTTCTCTAATATGTCAATGATATTTTCGGTGCTGCTTCCCTCTCTCATCCGGAATTAGAAAAGTTCATCGATTTCGCTTTCAATTTCCATCCTGCCCTCACTTTCACCTGGTCTATCTCTGACTCCTACCTTCCCTTCCTCTATATCTCTGTTTCCATTTCTGGGGATAGATGGGCCACTAATGTCCACTATAAACCCACTGACTCCCACAGCTACCTGGACTATGCATCCTCACACCCTGCTTCCTGTAAAAACTTCATCCCATTCTCTCAGTTCCTCCATCTCTGATGCATATGCTCAGATGAGGCCAACTTCGACAAGGGAGCCTACAAAATGTCCACCTTCTTCCTCAACCGAGGATTCCCCAGCACCGTTGTTGATAGGGCCCTCAACCGGGTCCGAGCAGCACTTCCACCCTCACCCCTTCTCTTCCCTTCCGCATCAGCGATAGGGTTCCCTTTGTCCTTACCTACCATCCCACCAGCATCCACATTCAGAAGATCATAGAACATAGAACAGTACAGGCCCTTCGGCCCATGATGTTGTGCCGAACTTTTACCCTGAGCCTAAGGTCTATCTAACCTCCACCGCTACCTTATACTATCATCCATATGCCTATCTAATAGCCACTTAAATGCCCCTAATGAGGCGGACTCCACTACCCTCTCCGGCAATGCATTCCACGCCCCTACCACTCTCTGAGTAAAGAACCTACCTCTGACATCTCCCCGATATCTACCTCCTTTCACTTTAAAACTATGTCCCCTCGTAAAAGCTACCTCCACCCTAGGAAAAAGTCTCTGGCTGTCTATCTATACCTCTGATCATTTTGTACACCTCTATCAAGTCACCTCTCATCCTTCGTCGTTCTAAAGAGAAAAGCCTTAGCTCTCTCAACCTTTCCTCATAAGACCTTCCCTCCATTCCAGGCAACATCCTGGTAAATCTCCTCTGCACCTTTTCTAACGTTTCCACATCTTTCCTGTAATGAGGTGACCAGAACTGGACACAATACTCCAGACGTGGCCGAACCAGGCTTTTGTATAGCTGGAGCATAACTTCACGGCTCTTGAACTCAATCCCTCTATTAATGAAAGCTAACACACTATACGCCTTCTTATCAACTCTATCCACCTGGGTGGCAGCTCTCGGGGAACTGTGAACATGAACCCCAAGATTCCTCTGCTCCTCCACACTGCCAAGAATCTTTCTGTTAACCCTGTATTCTGCTTTCAAGTTTGTCCCTCCAAAATGAATCACCTCACACTTTTCAGGGTTAGACTCCATCTGCCACTTCTCAGCCCAGCTCTGCATTCTATCAATGTCCCTTTGTAACCTAGAACAGCCCTCCGCACTGTCCACAACGTGACCCACCTTCGTATCATCCGCGAACTTGCTAATCCACCCTTCCACTCCTTCATCCAAATCATTTACAAAAATCACAAATAGAAGAAGACCAAGAACAGATCCTTGTGGTACACCACTTGTAACTGAGCACCATGTTGAATATTTTCCGTCCACGACCACCCTTTGTCTTCTAAGGGTCAGCCAATTCTGAATCCAATCTGCCACATTTCCCCCTATCCCATGCCTCCTTTCCTTCTGCATGAGCCTACCATGGGGAACCTTGTCAAACGCCTTACTTAAATCCATGTATACCACATCCACTGCTCCACCTTCATCCACGTGTTTGGTCACCTCTTCAAAGAATTCAGTTAGGTTTGTGAGGCATGATCTACCCCTCACAAACCTTGCCTTTCCAAGTGATCATAAATCCTGTCTCTCAGAGCCCTTTCCAATAATTTGCCCACCACTGACATAAGACTAACTGGCCTGTAATTTCCGGGGTTATTCCTGTTCCCTTTTTTGAACAAGGGAATGACGTTTGCCTCTTTCCAATCTTCCAGCACAACATCAGACACCATTTCCACCACCTCCAGCGAGATGCCACCACCAGACACATATTCCCCTCCCCTCCCTTGTCCGCCTTCTGCAGGGACAGTTCTCTCTGGGACACCCTGCCCCACTCTTCCTTCACCCCCAACACCTCCCCCTCAGCCTTTCGGCACCTTCCCCTGTAACTGGCAAAGATGTAACACCTGCCCATTTATCTCCTCCATCCCCACTATCCAAGGGCCCGAACATACCTTCCAGGTGAAGCAGCACAATCTCACAATCTAATGTGCTGCATTCACTGCTCACAATATGGTTTCCTCTACATTGGAGAAATGAAGCATAAACTGGGTGACCGCTTCACAGAACATCAATGTTCTGCCCGCAAAAATGACCCTGAGCTTCCAGGTTGCCTGCCACTTTAACACACCATCTTGTTCCCTGGCCAACATCTCTGCCTCGGGCCTGCTGCAGTGTTCCAGCGAAGCTCAGCGCAGACTGGAAGAACACCTCATTTTCTGCGTGGGGACCCTGTAGCCCTCTGGACTCAATAGCAAGTTCAATAATTTTAGGGCCTGAACTCTCCAATGTCCTAGCCCCCTACCTCACACACCAGACCTTGCTATCACACAGCCTGCCAT